TGTTTTGAGTCAGTATCTTGGTGGTATACCAATTTTAGGGACACGTTATCTTCTGCAAATGGCAGTAGAACATTTTGCAGTATTTCTGGTATATGCGTAATGACTCTTGATGCCTTCAATTAGATTGATCGGACCAAGCCTCTGTACGAGAAACATTACTATACCATCATACTAGTCCCACTATTTTTTAAAGCTTTCGTGGTGTATCGCGGTCATATTCTGTATTAGTGGAACATCACAGAAACTCTTTCCGGCCATAAAGAAAAATTTTCGACCTTTCAGTCCAAAGAATGGTCATACATTTTTCTAGGTGGGCAGGTCAGTTGTTAAAGTAGCCTTACGATGTAACCTTCTATTTACAAACAGCAGTTAATTCGTTCCGGAACTCTAGAAGAGCTATTATTGGTCGAGTTTTGGCATACCTGACAGTATTTCGTTTGGTAACCTTTGGAAAAATTCTTCTGGGATCTCTGTTATTGCNGCGAAGTGAAGGTACTTGCACCGTCCGGCTAGTGACAATGGTTTTGCGCCTAAGCCAGAAGGTAATTGAGACAGCATTGCCGAAGCGACTTGGAAAGGCAACAAGGCAAACTGCCAAAAGCGCTTTGCAATTTATTTTATTTTATTTGAAAATGGCAAATCAACTGGCCCGCGCCGCTTGCGTGGTGGCGAGATGAAGTCGCCCAAGGAACGATAAGCGCCCGTTARCTAGACACCTGTGTCGCCTTGCAAAAAGCTACCTAAAAGCGCAACTGTTTGTTTCACACTTCCATTGAACGACTTCCTAATCCAAGTCATATTGCACGCGCCAACAATTAAGGGAGTGTCAATAGGCGCGGGTGGATATTGGCGGAATTTGGTAAACATGCTATTATCTTTTCAATCACTACTGAAACCTTATTATCGAAATAACCTCAAAAAATCTTCTTTAAGTAAGAGATCGCTTTTTGGTTGATGATGAACCAAATGAAGGATTTTCTCACAAAGTTTTTTCTCAACTTGGAGAGGAGCAATATCGCATAACAATAACATTTCCTATAATTTAAAATTTTACGTCGTGGACGCATAAACAATGTCAATACGCCGAATTTCACTGAAACCTTCCGAATCATTATAGGTCATTGACCGAATCCGTGTCCTCAGAAACCTGAGATGGATTTTCTTTTTTTCAGCTTCTTTCCAAGATATGGTCGGATGAAAGCATACCCGACGATTGAAACCCAAGTACGCTCTGCCAAATCCACTAAAAGGGGGACCCCACAATTAGCGGCAATTACCGTAGATTTACCCTCTTTAAGAGATCGTCTGTGTGAAATTTTTTACAGCACGAGAAGAAACTGCCTCTACACCGCCATATTTGAACTTGAAATCTGTGTAAGCTAATTTTGAGCAGCACCAAGAGCTCCATCAGGACCGGGAAGGACCTCTCCGAGCGGTTCGATACCAAGCGAGAATTCAGACAAGGTGAGTCCCTACGTCAATCCATTGTTGGAGAAAATAGTTATAGTTCAGCGAATTTAGAGACAGCGGCTGCTCTGGAAACACTCCAGCAGGGGAAAATAATGATCTCCTCTCAATCCAATAAAAAAAAAGAATATACAGTCGCGAGCTATGAAATAGTAGTCGATATGACCACTATAAATATCTATCAATTGTTAATAATTTTTTATAGTTCGCTGTAGCCTTAATTATGGAGCATGTTGTTATTTTAGCACTATGAGAACAGAAGAACTAGCTGGCTGGCCCAAATACTCAATTCCATTGACCCGGAACCATTCCTGTGCCAGCTTACTGCTGTTTTGAGTCAGTATCTTGGTGGTATACCAATTTTAGGGACACGTTATCTTCTGCAAATGGCAGTAGAACATTTTGCAGTATTTCTGGTATATGCGTAATGACTCTTGATGCCTTCAATTAGATTGATCGGACCAAGCCTCTGTACGAGAAACATTACTATACCATCATACTAGTCCCACTATTTTTTAAAGCTTTCGTGGTGTATCGCGGTCATATTCTGTATTAGTGGAACATCACAGAAACTCTTTCCGGCCATAAAGAAAAATTTTCGACCTTTCAGTCCAAAGAATGGTCATACATTTTTCTAGGTGGGCAGGTCAGTTGTTAAAGTAGCCTTACGATGTAACCTTCTATTTACAAACAGCAGTTAATTCGTTCCGGAACTCTAGAAGAGCTATTATTGGTCGAGTTTTGGCATACCTGACAGTATTTCGTTTGGTAACCTTTGGAAAAATTCTTCTGGGATCTCTGTTATTGCATTGCGGATTATGACTGCTGAACATCCGACCAGTTGTTCCACATTTTTTGAAGGTTTGGCCGGTCTATATATAATTTTGCAAAATTGCCCACAAATATTTTATTGCTCGCAACTGTATCTAAATTTAAATGTGATAAACTAAAGTACAGATTTAAAGTTGTTCAATGCCACTAACGTGCTGCATTATTTTCACCGCTATTGTACATGCATACATAAATAGATACCTATATTACATTTGTATGAATTGAATAAGCCAACAAATCCGTTATAGCCTTTCTGGCACGCGCCACCGCCAACCAGCAGGGAAGTAATAATAAAATTGTTGCATGGCCGCTTGCCTTTACTCACCGCGGCGGTTTCGTTACATCGTGTTTTTATGGTGATCATAATTTAAAGTATCTTTATTTTGTACGTTACTCCCGCTTACAACTTACAAACAGCAACAACAACCGCCAGTCAATACAGTCATGTCTTTTCTAGCAAAGCTGAACGCTAAATCGCAGCGATACTATTGTTTTATGTTTTAGGAAACATCGCGCGGGTGTTGTATTGTAGGAGTTTCTGTGTATGTATTTCCTTGTCAATGCATTCCTCCATACGCGAAAGTGCCGAAAAATCTGACATAACTTAAAAAAAAAAAATATTATAATCGGTACTTAGAGTTTGCAATCACATTTCGCATAAGACAATTGCTCAAATTGCACAGTGTTATTATCCCGATTAGCATTTGCACAATGCTGCATGGGCTGTGAACTCTTGGCAGTGGGCTCAGCCTACTTTTGGCAATAGAGCATTTGGCAACTTTCGCAGAAGCGACATTATGTTGCTCTTGCTCATAATAATTAATTCAATCACGTATTTCGATATGCAAATAATGGAGTGTGTGGTCAGGGAACCGCTAAAACTAAACTCCCCCTAAAAYTAACTTGAAACTCATGTGCTGAACACATTGAGCGCGACAGACTGCAAGCGACATCTGTCAAATATTAAAATAGCCACGTTCTTATGGACACAGTCCAAATTGTGTACATGCAAATTGGACAGCTGTGTTGTYTTGTGTACATGCCGGCCATTGTTATGTTGCTGCCTTCTCACAAATGTTCATGTAGACGGATTAACAACGCCGTTTTCAGTTCACTGTCGTGCTGCCATGTCGTGTCGTGATCAATGTGTTCAGCACATCAAACTGCAATCAGCAAATTGTACAAATCTKGAATTATAGCAAGCGCAAGGCAGTTGCAAAAAACTGCTTAATCTAAAGYAATTTGTTTTTACGTTGCATTATAAATGTCAGTTCTCATACATTTATAAATATTCCAGCAAATTCATAACACAAACAATTTTAAAAATACACCCAAGTAAGATCAAGCGAAAGCGTGGCATTCTCAGTTCCTTCAAAGTGAACATCAATTGGAGACCTCACTTCTTTTGCGGTTTCATGATAGAATGTCACATTGAGTATCGTCGCAGAAAAACAATGAAATTCTGTTAAAGATTATGTGTATGTATGTATGTGTAGTTAGACATATATKTGGACCAGTATGAACGGATGTTTTGATGGTAAACGTGCTAAACTCTCTAAAATAAAGACAAAAACGCATCAGTTTTCGTTTTCATATTTACCCGTTGACTGAACTGACAGAGCTTAGTTTTTCGTTGTGCGGCCACAATTTATATTACACTTAACACACTTGAATGGTTGTATTTTGTATTTAAAGGCCATTTGTCTTTAATCATACTTGCATACATACATATGTACATAATTAAGTTTACATATCCACCGCTAGCTCAAGACGCATCTCTAATTGGCATTACCCAGTGGCCACGGCTTGCTTTTGCGCAACATACATACTCCATTTGATTTATGGTATTTTTCATTTTTTCACTCTAAGCCACAGCCACGAATGCTAGACAAAAAGCAACGCTAACATAACATATTTTCATATTAATATATTACAAATTGTTGCCTTATCGGAGCTACTTGCAAGTTGAAATCCAAGTAGGGGGATTTTAGGTCTAGCAAAACCTTGTCAAAAATGTACAATTAAATTTCATMTTAACTTAATCATTGTAACACCATAAAATTAAATTATCAAAGTATGTAAGTATAAAGGGTTAGGTACATACGTACACTGGTGGCAGAAATAATAGGGACAAACGCATTGTCTTATTTCTTACCCCAAAGAAAACTGTTTATCAACACTGTTCTTAATCACTAGYCTATGCAACAAAGTTTGATAACATCATGACAGACATGGTTCGTCTTCAACGCGTAAAACTCGCCGAATGCACTTTATGTTCTTCCGAAAGGCAAACGTATACTAAACAATAAGRATTATTTTGATGTGACATTGTTTCCCACAGTTTGGAGTACTCCAATTATTTGAAATATTTTGATGAAATTCGAACAATAAGGTAACAAGGTCTGATCTCTTTTAAAAAATGAAGAATTTGTAAAATATCATAATTGCAAAAAGTAATGTAATCTCTCTACAACTTCACCGAACMATCAACATTAATTTCCACAGGTGTTTTGAGCAGATCTAACGATGCAATAATATCGATTCCGTTGATTTGTCTTTTGAAAATTTTAAACTTTTACTTTTGTAAATGCGGTTAAGTGCTTTCAACTAATGATATAAAAAAAATGAGTGGCAGGAAACTATCCTGCAACTCCGTTCACTTGCAATCAAAACATAATTCTTGCAGAAACTGCTTTACTTACCGAATGTTCTGCCAAACAATGCTCCAATTCAGCTKTCGTTAATGTAGTAACTGTCGACAAAGTGGGGGCCAACTCAAGACGCTCTTCCATTTCACGCAGCCACTTGCGTAATTCTTTAGGATCGTGCCACGATAGTTCGCGCCGCTGTGTTACACCCAACAACTGAAATTATAAGTCAARCGATAACAATTCATAACGAGTATAAAAGCATAATTCACCACAGATTTGAACACTCACCTCAGCGCAATGCGATTGTTCACATTCCACACCGTTAGCTACGTTGTGATCCGCAAGATGTCGCTCTGTCTCTTTGCAWGTATCCAAAAGGTTTGTGTCCATGATATAATTATAGTTGGTTTGTATGGCAGCCCAAAGATCGTCTTTAGCCGAGCCAAGCCCAAACGTGGCACTGCTTTGTAGGCTTGACGAACTATAACTGTATCCGCTGCCCCAAGAATAGCGGTGGTTTGCGAAACTGCTAGTACTGCTTTGACTTTGACTAAAGCAGTGAGCTCTTACCCCCAACGTAGCGTTGACTGCATTGCGTTCTATGTTTTTCTATGAAATATAACAGTAAACACAAGTTCATATTTAGTTTTATTGTTATCGCATATATGTATATGTATGTATATTTCAATAGGTGTTTCAACAAAAGCATATTTAGATTAGATTATAAGATTCCGTAGTAAAACGTACGGCAATTGTAACTTCCTATAGCAATAAAATGCCGAATATGATTAGATTCAATTTTAATGTAATATCTCGGGCGTAAAGCTAAAAGCAGTAATGAAACTTCGATGTGAAAGATGCACATCGCTCTGATCGACCTATCGTTGAAAAGTCGATGAAATTATGGAAAGGATTGACCTGGACCGTCATATAAGCAGCCATGAAATCGCTAARAAACTTAACATTCATCATCAAATGGTTTTGAAACATTTAAAAAAGGCTGGCTACAAAAAGAAGCGAAAAAGATCATGGTCCAAGCGTGGCGAAGCTCAACAAATGGTCGCAAGGCCAGKATTGACGCCTCGAAAGGCTATGCTGAGTCTTTGGTGTAATTGGAAAGAAATTTTCCACTATGAGCTGGTCCAGCTTGGTCGAACGAAATATTTTACATTTTAGTGTCAACAACTGAAGAGATTGAAGCAAACAATCGAAAAAAACGGCCAGTACTAATTAACAGAATGAGCTTCGTCTTCCAGCAGGACAACGCTAKACCACACACATATGTACATATTTGATGACTYGGCAAAAACTGGGAGAGCTTGGCTGGGAAGTTTTGATGCATACACCTTATAGCCCTGACCTTGCACTATCGAACTACCAATTGTTTCGGTCAATGCAGAACTCCCCCAGAATGAAGTGAAGTTAACTTGAAAAGAAGCCTGTGAAAATTACTTGTGGCAGCTTTTCGCCGAGACCCCAGAAAAGCTTTACACTGGTGAAATAATGGCTCTAGCGGAAAGAAGACTAAAAGTGGTCGACCAAAATGGTACATATTTGTTACATTAAAATTCATTATAAATAAAAAAAAAATAAGTTGAAGTTTGATTAGAGATACGAAAAGACTTTTTCGACTAGCCAATATTTTTCTGAAAAGCTCGGAAATATGTATATTACCGAAATTCATGGAGAATCTTTTCCTTATACTAGTATTATCTTATGTCAAAAAAGGATATAATAGGCCCCGCATAGCTAAAATCTTTTTCATCATTATAAGTTGTTTACATAAAATTGGGTACATATTCTCAAGTAAACTTGAGTAATGGCAAACGTTATAGCAATTTGTACAAATCTTTCTCTAGTCCCAATATAATCGACATAGTGATTTCCAACAACTTCTCGAAATCTCATATCGCTAAAATAATATTGATATTAAAGTTAATAGCGTAGTTTAAATATTTCCAAGACTTTAATTTTTGCAAATTGCAGGGGTAACCGAACTTAGYCCTTCCGTACTTGATTAATATAAGTTACTTAACAGGCAATATTTTAACTRTGTGTCAGCTGCTAAATGAGTAATGATACAAAGTAACACACTGATCTTTGAAACAATTAGCATTGCGAAGCATAGGTCTGCGCTAATTAAAATACTGAGTGAATACAGTGAAAAAATAGTTATTCCAAAGTTGAAGTGATTTATAAAGATACATTGGAACAAGCATACATACATATCGCTTGGTAATGAGAAGTGTCACAATTAAAAAAAATWTAAACGCTTTTATATTTTTATAAGGCAACTTGTGCGGAGCAGTTAAAAATTAACTGATTAAACTCAGCCTTAGGGTGCGTGCAGAGTAGACGCTGAAACCTGAGCCACTTTTAGCAAACTCACACTAGTTCATAAACAATAGTAGTGWATTTACATGCAATATGTTGGCAACTCTCATTTTAAGCAACAGTCGCCATTTTTATCAGAGAAAAGCACAGAAATCAAAGCTGTCATTCTGACATATCCTTTGGCTGAAATTAAATGGCGAAAGGTTTAATTTCCCTAATTGAATAAAAACTGTCAACCACCGGACGGGACGTGATGCATGGAGCAACTATTTCTTCTATTTCTGAGAGAAGTTAACAGAATTGTTCATTTCAGGCAAAATAATTCATTCATAAGATTATGTATGGAGTATCAATGACGTAAGTATAAAAATTGCAACACACATAAATAGTATGTAYATTGTATGTGTATGAATATTGCATTAGCCTACATTATGGTCGAAAAGGCAAGTAATAAAACCTAAGCAGTCATAAGTCGCTCACAAACGCACAAATACAATAATAAGAAAACACACTTGCTCAGCACAAAACTGGTTGTACAAATATTTCTCAACTCGTAGTCTTCTTATTCGGCTTTGTCTACCTAAAGCAGCTGCCAGTATTATTTTGTCGCACTTTTTGTTAGTCATCAAAGTCCAAGGCTATTAGTAATTTTTTCATGCAGTTTGCATTTCATCGATAGAGAATCGGAAATTCTTAATTTTCACGCACACTTCGAATGCAAAGTTGTCAACAAGCCCTGGACTCTCTTCCCAGATGAAGTGGTAGACGGCAAAATAAGGAATAACGCAGTATGGCCGGTTGCATAATTTGCAAAATAACCAAGAGAGCAAGCTAACGCAAACCCGCTTTGAAATACTTGCCACCATGAAAACGATTCCTAGTCGAAAAGACGAGTTAGAAAGATGCAAACTCTCACTTGGAAACTTGCAAATAATGGCTAAAATCATTATTCTATGCATGCAATATATGTATATACATATACATGTGCACACACATGTTCATGTTCGACATAATATACATATGTACATGTACGTTAATGCATGCCAGTAACAAATTAACGATCAACTGTTAATTGACATAATTTCTTGAATTCGGCATTCTCCGCCCAACTTCTCTCTCCCATTATTGAAACTATGATCGTCAATTTCAGATGATCAACAGGTAGGCAGTGCTTGACTTTTAGAACGACGAGTTCTCTAAAAGCCTATCAGATTGGACTGACCGCACTGCATTTAGCTTCAAAGTTGTTGTTGTTSGACCGCAATTTGTGTATTTGCGGTTGCTTCCTGCAGCTCGTATCATGTTTTCTAGGTCGTTGGAAATCTAGGAAATATCTATTGCTAATTTAATATAGAACAAAAAATAAGGTGGCATTTGAATTTAAACTGCGCGCATCGAAGGATTTGGAGAATTATTTTTTTTAGGCTGGTAGTACTGTCAGTCACATTTATGTCAAATTTCATATCAAAATATTCATTAATGTTTGAGATACGTGTCGTTTGACGTGAGCTGCTAAAAGTGAGTTTTTCGTTTTATGCGATGTCGAAATTTGTTGAGCAAAGAATTTGCATTAAATTTTGTTACGGAATCAATATTATGCTGCGGATACGTTGAGGATGGTGCAGAAAGCCTTTGGTGATGAGGCTATGTCTAAAAAAATGTTTACAGGTGGTATAGTGAGTTGCAAGCAGGCCGTGAACGTGTCGAAAATGAAGAGYGTCCAGGGCGACCATCAACCTCAACCGACGAAGCTCACGTTCAGCAAATCAAAGATTTGGTGTTGAAAAASYGTCGATTAACAATTAGRGACCTTGCTGATGAAGTTGGCATATCGAAAGGCTCAGYCAATACCATTTTGAAGGATGTTTTGGGYCTYAAGCGCGTCMAATCTCGACTGGTKCCGAAAACATTGAATTTTTTGGAAAAAAASGCRTCGCGTTGAAGTGTGTGAAACGATGMTTTCCGACTACCAGGGTGTCRCGAAACGCTTTATAACTGGCGATGAGACTTRGATCTATGCTTACGACCCCGAAACAACCGATCAATCGAGCGAATATCGTGCCAAAAGAGAGCCGAGACCAAAAAATCGCRCCAAAGTCGTTGACTGTTTTCTTCGATTATTGTAGTGTTGTGCATTAAGAATTCCTTCCAACCGGTCAAGCAGTCAACAAGGAATATTATTTGAACGTTATGCGTCGTTTGCGTAACGCTGTCCACCTAAAAAGGCCGAAATTGTGGAAAGACAATTCTTGGTGTTTGCACCACGATAATGCACCATCCCATACTGCCCTCGTAATTCGTGATCAATTCGCCAAAATCTGAACTCATAACGCTCCGCAACCACCGTATTCACCTGATCTGGCGCCGTTCGACTTCTGGCTGTTCAGCAAGCTCAAAAGACCGCTCCGGGGATACCGCTTTTATACGAGGAGATTCAAGCCGCAGCGAAGACGGAACTGAAGGCCATCCCGGAAAGTGGCTACAACCAGTGTTTCGAAGATTGGAAAATCCGTGCATATGTGCATTGCATCGGGAGGGGAATACTTTGAAGGGGATGAAATTGATTTGGAAGAATAAATAAAGAATTTTCAAATAAACGCAATGTCACCTTATTTTGTGGGCTTTATGTATATCAAAATTAATGTCTGTTTCACTCTACTGTGTTCTAATTGCTCTGCAGGGACCTGAAAAATACAAAATATTCCTTACAGGAATTTGATTCAGATTGGTCAGTTTCCGATCCGAACAATTTCTTCGGAGATTGCACTAATGAAATGCTATAGTGGTTCAATATCGGCGTTTCTGAGCAGTTTCTTGGAGAGAAAATCACGTGTGCAAATTTCTAGATCGATATCTCAAAAGCTGAAGGATTAGACGCACAGACAGATGAACATGGCTAGCTTCGACCTGCTTATAGGGCCTCTCTTGTTTTTTTTTTTTTGGTGCTACGAAATTCGTAGCAAACTTAATATACTCCATTCGGGGATTTACATAGGTCGAACTCTTTCGTTCTCTATGGAACGCACTTCAAATRACCAAGGAAAGCTCGAGTTCGGGTGCAGCCGATTAGTAAGTTTCTCTATATACGATATATACATCCATAAATAGACAATTGATATAATAGATAATTGATAATTTAAGAATATGAGTTACAGCACCAATATACATATCTTTACTTACTTTCAAACTGTTGTATGGACGTTCGACATTTAGTTTTGCTTTAATTACGTCACGACCCTCAGACTTCTCATCGTCCGGTGGCAGCGATGTCATTGAAACAGAGGCCTTCATATTGGCCGTACCGGAAGCGATGACGTTTATTGGAGGCTGGCAGCGATTCCCATCAGTGGCGCCTTTGCCAATATTATTGCTGTTTGCTTTGTTGCGTGCTTTATTGTCTTCTCGTTTCTTAGAGCTTTTATTGCGTTTCTTTTTGGCGCTGGTACCAGCCCCACCAACACCGTTTTTGTTGGTTGCCTTCGTATCGGGTATGGCTGGTACTGCAAATTCGCCCACTTTGGAGTTGGGCTGCATCTTTTCCGGATTTTCAATAGTTGTAATTGCTAAATTTACCAGTGTTTTCGGTATCGAAATAGGATTTGTGTTTGTGAGTGTTGCCGTGCTCATCTGCGAAGCATCAACATACACCATGGCCGCATTTTCAGTCTCTTCGTTATTGTTAACCGCAGCTGCAATCGTTTTCGGCGCTGCTTCGGTTAAATTCTCACCTGCCGATTTGCTAATTGGTGGTGTTATTGTTTTTATTGGTGAAAAATTCGATTCTTCATCCCGACAAATTTCACTAGTGTCAGTACTTTGGCTTGTGCCCTTTACTTCATGCTCGTTTATATTTAAATTTGTATACGTATTTGCATTATTAATTGTATTTCGTATATCTAACGTTTGTTCGTAGTGTTGTGGTTGCATAAAGTTTACCTTCTCCCTCTTCGGCGAATCCATTTTCGTTCTTAAGTTTCCACATTAATTAGCTGATATCTCTGATGATTTCACAAAAAAGGAAATAGGTATATTTGCAGTCACTATCTAAAAAAAGAAAAGATAAGTATGTATTAGTCTTTGCTTAATGATTTTCCATTATTTAGATTAGTTATATCAGTTATTATACCAGTTATTAATTTTAAATGGGTTATGTGTAGTGCTCCATGAGCTTCAATGATAAGAACTTTTAAAAATACACTCACACAATCATATTCAAGACCAAAGTTGAGGTTATCTATGCCCCAACCTTTGACACGCACAGATACCTGGGGGGAATATCTAGAAACTCTTTCATTCAGGAAATCAAAAACCGAGACTTAACGAAGCCCTACASGAAATAGTCTAACGGAGTCAAAACGCACAACCGAGGCTTCCAATTGACTGGGCCATTTCGTGAGATAACACGTTCACCAAACTTGGTTTTCAATATATCGATTGTGACATTCGCTGTGTGGCTTCTGGCGCCGTCCTGTTGGAACCACATATTGTCCAAGTTCATACCATCTGATTCGGATCAAAAATATTCGGTTGTCATTGAACGATAGCGGTTATCATTCACAGTAACGTGCCAGCCTTGATCATCACCGAAGAAGTACCGTCCAATGGCGCCGCCGGCTCATAAACCGCAACAAACCCTAACTTTTTCGGTATGCAATGGTGACTCATGGAGTACTTGTGGATTGCTGCCTGACTATTTTTTATTTTATTTTATTAAAGCTTACATAATAAAAAAATTATTATTATATAAACTAAAGTACGCAGCGCTAGCATCAAAGGCTTTCGGCTGACTCTCTCTGCCTGACTAATAACGCATATTTTGCTGAAATAGTTTCGTCAATTTAGTCAGAAATGAGCCTCATCGCTAAAAATTATTTTTCGATGAAAATCCAGATCATTTTCAAGTTGTTGCTCAGCCCAATTCACGAACATACGACGATGCTAGTGGTCAAGCGGCTTCAGTTCTTGCGTCAATTTGGTCTTGTAAGGATGTAGGCCAAGATATTTTGGCAAAATTCGCCACAGCGAAGTCACAGAGATGCCCAACGCTTGAGAACGACGTATGGGAGACTGATTTGGGTCTTCCTYAWTTGATGCGCTAGCGGCAGCAATATTCTCGACACTACGGACATTTCTTTATCTCACTGGCACGGGTACATTTTGTACTGTGCCTGTAGATTCAAATTGTTTCACCAGACGCTCAATTGTTAACCTGACAGGACGATTTTGACGACCATAAACTGAAYATAGCGCTCTTAARGTGGAGGCCACTGAGCGACTATTTCGCCTATATRCAGAGAGACASACACATAAACAGRCGGGCATGGCTAAATCAACTCAGCTCGTCACTCTGATCATTTATATACTATATTCTTTATAGGGCCTCCGCCATTTTCTTCATGGTAAACTTAATATATCCAGGGTATATTTAGGGTAAAAGAATTACGATAAAGTTTGATTAATGTCTTTACCATAAATACTTTTTATAAATTTAATTTTGTTATAATAAACTCATAATATAATAAACCTGAATAAGATTATACATATTATACTAAAAAATGCGAATGAGCTAACTTCATTGAAATCGAAAACATTTTACGCAAAGTACCAAAGTCTAAMGCAGCATTCTTTATTTTCTAAAAGACTAGCAGTTGTTTTAAATTTAATAAATTTTGTTTTTGTTGTAATTTGTTCGCATTTCTAGCAAGCAGAATTAGCCTCAACCCATCCAAAATTTTTTGTTACTTTTAAGTCCGATATCTTATCGTGGTCGTACACTCCATCGATGACGGGAAATAAACATGTCCAATATTAAGAAGAATATCGGTCTCTGACATTTGGTAGATAGCGTTAAACTCGTCATTCACCAACAACTCTCTGCGTGCTTTCAGTTCTAAATTTAGCCAACAACACAACTCAMTTTGAGTGAGAACGCAGTCCGACTAGAAAAATGTGTAATTTCTGCCTCATTTTGAACATATGTCGCCAATTCRTTTCTGCAGGAAAACGAAAACTCAAATGCTCTTTTAGGGCTATATGGAAGCGATGAATCATCCAGCGCCAGCACAAAAAGTGGAAAGAATCAGACAAACGCAATAGTTGTCTTCCAACTGAATACCAAGGCTACGCACCCCAAACAAATATGTGGTTACCGCACTGACGAATTCACGCTCTTTGCTCTCGCCATAGAATTAAGGTGCGGCCCAATACGATGAACGAATAAGAATTAACAATTCAAAAAGGAAGTTGTGCGATTATCGGCGAATATAAAATATTGGACAAGATCAGTCATTGGTAATGTTTGTGGTATAGTATACTCATTTGTATATATGCATATAGATAGGTATGCATGAATATAAGGAAGATTTTTTATTTCGTTATTTAAAAAATACTTTTAAAGTAAACATATGCATGGATATGTAGAAAATATATAAATAATCCAAGCCGAGATCAACGACTGGTTTACAGCACTATTAACTTATAAATAAAAGTTTCCTTGGTTCAACCTTATAAATCTAGCATTGACAACAGGTAGGACGAAAGCATAACAGGCAATTGGAACGAGGTCAAGACGAAATATCTCCYGCCATCAAACAAAYAGTCGTCACACTCGCGATTAGGCTCCCACGTCACTGTTAACGATCATAACTTCGAAGTCGTAGATAATTTCGTCTATATTGGAAGGCAAGGAAGGACCCCACTTCGTTGAAAACGTTGTAAAGACCAGGTGSAAAGAGACCWGGCTACACTTGGAATCTACTATTGGCGCCAAACAGCCAAAGAAGAAGAAGAAGAAGTATAGCTGTAAATAATGACGCGTGAACTGTTACATATTGTGTTGAGAGACCAGCGAAATAACTTCATTGTATTTTAGTTTTCGAAGTGTGACAGTTCGTATACATTCACTTAGAGAAATTTGATTACTGTGTGAATCGTTTTGGATAAAAGGGTAAATTTGAATTTTTGAAGTGAAAATATTGAAACGTGAAACCTTTATTCAKACAATTTTCTTAGAGTTGCCAAAAGGTCACGAGGAAAATTATTACTAGCTGAGGAAAAGGGACAAATTAAGGCCTGTCACGAGTCTTAGCTTTTAAAAAAATTGGAAGAATTTTAAACTATGCCATTTCATGAAATTGCTCAATTACTATAAACCCCGAAATAATGATGGAAACACTAAAATCACACCAACGCAAAAAAGGGAAAACTAGATTGTCAACTAAAGAAAAGTTCTGTCGGCAGAAATTGTCCTCACATTACATTTGCCAATAAAAAGAGTTAACTAATATGGCATATATTAAAATCACCTGACCATGTTGACAATACAAAATGCCTTAAGAAAACTCCAATTCACGCTGAGCTTTACAGAAAACCATATTCAGTAACGCGCAGAATGGTCGAATTTTTTATTTAACCATGAAAAACTAATAAATAAGTTTCAATGAACAAGAGCTTTCCGGCTCAGCGACAGTAAAATTAATATAACTTTATTGTCATTCATAAATAACAAATGGATTGCATATTCCGGCAAAGCAGGGTTTCAATGCATAAATGCTTTGCATGACATCGCTATATAAATTAAAAAATGTTTTATATGTTGCGKTTACCCGACAGCAGTCAATATACTTCATTTATTTATTCTGCTCAGGAACTAAATACTAACATTATATTGTACACTTGTACTGGTGTTCGGGATTATACATAGGCCGCTGTACATGCGGTATATACTCGTACGTAAATTGTATGTATTGAATATGGTCGGAAGTCTAAAGTTTCGATATTTTCTCTCAATAACAATGACGTCATGCCATAAAAGCTTACATATACGAAGAGGCGAAGCGCAATTAGGATTTTATTATAAATTTTTTCTGAATATTTTTAAGTCGAAAAATGATATATCCGAAACAATCACGTGGTAAAATAGAAGTAGTACTACGTGACGGCTTGGCGACTTGAAAACTGATATCACTTATACCACTATTATGAATGGACGCTATTGTACCGTCGCCGCTCTACTAGCCATGTGCCAACTGCGTTTGTGTTTACATTTTTGCAAATTGGTTGAATATTCCGCTCTGGCTGTTCCTCTTAGATACCTTTGCTTTATTATGATACTCATAAGTGTGGGACCTATAGGGATATCAGAGAGGGTTAGTGGGCGCATCCTAAATAACAATATCAGCCTTTTATTAATATAGCCTCTCTTTTCATTCAATTTAATAAAACTAAGTGAGTCCATAACCTATAAAGTATGTAAGTTAAATATAATATCATTCGGCTTAAACCGCGAAAAAACCCAGCAGCTGCCTAAWAGCCTGAAATGTCTATAGCATATGTAACCAAGCCCATTGCTCCAAACCTAATTCAAAACTTCCGATGACGCCTTAAAATCATACAATGCCTTTGTATACATACATATATGTACGGTAACAAACGAATCGTACTCATTGCACTGTACTAAGTGTCCGATTACCTTAGATTAATTTCACTGAGACTTTTAATGGGAAAAGTGATTCAACTGTTCTCATGCAGTCCAACATTAGCATGTATTTAAGCATTACACTTAAGTTATACTTGAGCAAAGCAACTCCTTACTCAAGTTAGGAAGGGCTATGTTCGGATGTAACCGAAAACTTTATAATCCGTAATTTGAAAAGATAAAAGGCGGGAAAATACTCTCAGGTGTTGCAAAACTTTATATTAAATTAAGGAAATTATTACCCTGATTTTATCCATTATCCAATGCATACACTTGGCTAAGGCAAGTATTGACCAATTTACCCACTTTTCGCGAAGAGGAAGCTATTATCATACATAAATTCACTCMGAATTTCAATACTAGACCTTAAATATGGACCGATATTTTCGGTAAAAAGTCGACTATAGGCTCTAGGGTCTACAAATTCGGTAATAAGGTCTTTAAAAAGTTAAGCGATTTCGAAAAATTTTTAGGGTATTATTTGACGAAATAAATTTACCCTAGATTGTCAAAAGTATGATCAATAATGTATAAAAGCTCCGAATAAAATTACTCAATCCACATTTAA